GGTCTGCGGACGTGTAGCGGTGCGCTAGAACCTGCTGCAGAGTGAATATGTTGTCTATACAGCCCCGTTCTGGGGGATGTCTTCTTGTTCTTCCTTACGTTGTAATGACGTTTATATAGGCAGGATTGACTGGCAACTGGCTCAGAGGGTGGCTGAGCATTTCCCCAGTGGTTAAAGCAATCCATGGTACAACATTGAAAGAAGGATTAAATGGAGGGCCGGAATTCCGCCTCGTCTATTACAAAGCACGTCGTGATGACAGGCCAGGATGTGAATCCATCGAAAGCCTTCAAAGTGCTGTTGATCAACCGCAACTAGAAAATGCAGGTAATCAGTGAGTCATTACCGACTGCGGTAAAACGGCCGGTATTATGCGCGCAAAAGCAAATGAAGCAGTCTATCAGATTGTCATGGTGCTGATCGTTTAACTTTGATTTACCCGTATAATTTCGTTCTACATGTATGTACGTTAATTTATTACCCAAATGTATTGCGTTTGGGACTGATGATGGCAAGAAAAAAGTTAACATATCGCAATCTTTGTCTCCTGTCTACGTTGACCAAGTGGGTAAAAGGGACAATGTTTCACGAAAGAAAATCGTCAAAGGCCCTTAACTCAATAGTTTAACCTACGAGAATAGTGGTCTGTTTGCAAAAACTGGAAGTATATGGCATCTGATTTGCAAAACATACTAGAGTAAGTGCGACGCTTGGAGGGAGTACCACTTCCTCCATATTTGTCAGTTTTGCAATTGTTTGAAGTGAAATCAGCCAACGCCGAATCGAGCAGTTGAAGACCGGAGGCAGCCTTCTGTCTGGGATTGCCGCTGTTGAAGACTGCGGGGACAGGAGCTCCGGTAGAGTGGTGAATGAGGGGATGAGAATCTCCGTACACGTCGGCACTGCATGCGTTTGGGATGTTGCGAAGCATTTCTCTACAGTGTGCACGATCAGTAGAAACTTGCGAATTTTCCTGTGATTTAATGCGAGTGATATCAGCGGATGGATTCCGATTAGCTGTGGCCAGAATGCGCAAGTTTTCAATGAATTGGCTCCTAATGGAAAATGACCGGGAACAAAGTGAGGAAACGAGATTGCAGGAGAACTGGGAGTAATCAAGTTTAATAATCTTATTGTGAAGGAGTCCTAGGAAACTATAATTCTAGATGAACAGTGGAAAAATCAAGGGGCACACAAAGGTTCCACTTAAAGATGATGTAGTTAGGTCAGATCAACATTGATGAAAGTTGTGAAAACCAACCGTCGCAATAATACTGGAACGTATCGTGCAACGACGGTTTGCGCATCTTGTCGACCATTGAGTGGGTGGGGCCCCCGGGACCACTGGAGAGCTACTCCTAGCAGGTTGGCCAATGGTTAGAAGTCAGTCGAACTTAGTCCCGTGGTCCTCCAAGTTGGGGGTTGGAAATGAGATGGCGTCTATTTCCGTAAAACTAAATCATCGCCACCTCCCCGCTGCCTTGTAGACAGGTTTTAGTGTCAAAGGCCTAGGCTGAGGACCTTAATTGTTCTCCTGTCTAGGTCTGAGCGCCCTAGCAGTGTAACAGCCCATTTGCAACTAGGACTATTTCTTCGAACTTCAACAACGTCCTGCATCAGCCGTTGCGCAGCTTGAGAAAAGTCGCCTTATTTGCTGCATACAGCATGGCGAATAAGCGAAAGCAGGATACTGCTGGCACCTTTCTTTGCCACCTGTCTCGCCTCCAAGTCCCCAATGCTAACTTTCCTTCTATGATCCCAAATTTGATTGACAGCAACCGCAATATCACTGGAGTCAAACCATCTGCAGCTATCTTCCCGCACCACCCGCTGGACAACAATCGCCAGCAGCCAATTATAAGACCACGCCGTCCCATTTCTCTGGTGGCGTTCAAGGTTCGCACGATCACATCTGGGTGATTACCCCATGTTGAGACCGTTGCTTCATCTGCGCACACCAAGCTGCACGCGAGGACACCGGTATAAACTTATCGTCCCGGATTTGAAGCGGGTCGCCCATCAACTCTGTTTCGAACGCAGAGTGGTGAATGTCTGGAACGACCTGCCTCAGCATATAGTAGAAGCCAACACAGTGTCTAAATTCAAGATATTACTCGACCAACAATTTGCAGATACAAAGTACAGAAAGCGAAACGATAAATAAAGAGTTCATGTCCGAAAACGACGATTGATGCAGCTACACAGAGCAACCTCTACTCGCTGCTTCCCACCAGTTCTCAGTTCTCAGTTCTCACAATGTCGAATTTTTACAGAGTCTAAGTGACAGACTCTTCGAAGTTGATGAGAACTCCACAAAAGGGAAGCAAATTACCCGTGTTAGAAAGCAAGGTGATCAACAAAATCGGCCTATGAGAATCACTTTTGTGGACGAAGCCAGTCCAAGACTGATCTTGTCCTGGCTAAGTAGACTGAAAGGTTTGAAAATGCATGTTCATCCAGACCTAGACCCAGTAGACAGGGAACGATTCAAGTCTACCATCATTGAGCTGAAAAGACGTACTGGTGAGGGGAAAATAAATTTCCGTATCGAAAATTTTCGGGTGGCTTCCAAGAATCCGTGAATCAGGATAAACAGGTTTCTCACACTTCAAGCACGCCCAGCGGTTCCTGTTGCGGCCTGCCTTTACAAACATTCGCAGTATTATGAACAAGCGCGATGAGCCTCGTCGTTTCGTTGCGTCTGAGCAGACAGACGTAGTGGAACACACAGACATAATTGCATTCGGAGGTATACACCAAGGAAAATGAACTCAGCGGTTACTCGTGCTTACGGCTGGCTCGCCGAACAACCTCCCCGTGGTGACAGCTGGGCGGTTCGGGAACTTCCCGTTCCGGCAAATGGTTCGGCCGCAGTGTTCCAGGACGTGGCGGGTTTTCGCCTGGCAAGCGTTCTCCCTATAAAAAGTCACAAATGTTCGCTTAACAATACTGCGACGTGGCGGAGGTGACTTGCCAGTAAATAAAGTCACTGCCCCTTGTTTCTTTTGGAGACAATGTGCACCGGCAAGCAATCTGAGCATCGGATCTTGTCTCTGACTTCGAGAGTGTTGGGTCTCTGATATGGCTTATCGTCATCCGAAAGGCGGATGAAATGAGCGTCCAGTTACCGGCTCCCAACGGGTGCAAATCCTTCATCTCGTCCTGCTGTCTTGTGAGTTAGGTCATTTGGCCAAAGGCTCGGGGCGGTGGTACCCTAAGGCAACCTACCTACCTCGGCCTAGACAACCGGGTAGTATCTCGCCTACTGACGAACCATGAACTTACAACCACAAGTATTCACATGCTTACGTGCTGCTAGGATGCTATTCACTTATGGTGTTATGCCAACTTCACCAGCACACGCAACCATTTTACCTACCCTGCCTTCATACCATTCACACCCATTTTTAACTGATTCCTTGATGACGATCAATCCCAACTTCACCGATGAACCTGTTCCCGTGACATCTGCCAACTCAACCATATAGTGCTCAACAGAGAGCTGTCAGCCCCGAAGTCTTCCATCCTCGATCCTGCAACAGGGAACGCAGTTCAAACCTGCAGCCTTCAACGTACGCACATTACTGCAGATCGGCCAGTAAGTTAGATTTGCACGCATGCTAGAGACCCTCGGAATCGATATTTGCTGTCTGAGTGAAAAGCGACTCCAGGACTCCAACTCGGTCTACCAGCTGGCGGCACCGCTCCACCTACACACCCGCTTCCATCTCCGCCTCTCTGGTGACGCCGAGTCTGCCGCATCTGGGCAGGCTGATGTTGAAATCGCCCTCAGTGCTGGAGGCAAGGCTGTTCTGATTGATTGGATCCCGGTCAATAGTCGCCTTTGTGCGATGAGGCGGGATGGCTTTTGTAAAGTTAGCAGACGTCAAGTCGCGAAGCGTGCACTCTTCGTGATCTCTACCTATGCGCCCACTGACTGTAGCTCGGACACAGTCAAGGACCAGTTCTACCAGAATCTTCATGAGCTGCTCCTAAGGGCTCCTAAAACAGACATCATTGTTTTGGCAGGAGACTTCAACGCGTGTGTCGGTCGGCTGCTGCCGTGTGAGCGCCACCTCGGAGGACCGCATGGATATGATGTTCGCTTAGACAACGGACAGAGACTGCTCAGTTTGTGTGCTGATCAACACCTTTTCCTCTCCAGCACGAGCTTTCGTCATCTTAGACGCCAGTACGCCACTTGCCGCCCACCATCACCAACCCAGCGCTGGTCACAGATTGACCACATAGCCGTAAGTCACAGATGGCGCGGCAGCGTATGCGACTACCGATCATTCTGATCAATACGCGTCGATACCGGTCATGCATTGGTATGTGCGACCGTTTTCATGTGTTTCGGTGGTTCACCTAGGTCCAAACACAAACGACTGAACACCTACAAGTTAGAGGACCCAATGGTGAAGAAGAAATATTAACAAAGGTTCCGTGAAAATCTCGCTGGGCAGAGCAATTCGCTCTTCAATTCAAGCACCCAACACAGCCTCCTGTGGCACCTCCAGCCACAAGGGATGATGCTTGGCCTGTCTCCACACAACCTCCAAATGAAGCAGAGATCCGAGATGCAATTCAATCTTTGAAACGCCATACGGTTCCTGGTCCCGACAGCCTACCACCGGCTCTATTCAAAGATGACAGGAGTGTACTTGTCAGCGAAATCCTATCGCTGTTCACGAAAGTTTGGACTGAGAAGAAGGTTCCGTACTCACGGGTAGAATCGGTCATTGTTTCGATTGACAAGAAAGCACCCGCGACGATTGGTGTAACTATCGCGGAATCTCGTTAATCTCTGTCGCATCCAAAATCTGCGTTATCAGTCCTACTTCGCAGGCCTTCAACGACTAGATAGGAGTTTTTCCGTGAAGAACAAGCCGGATTTCGTCCAGGCCGAGGCTGCATCGACCAAAGCTTCACGCTCCGCCAACTTCTCGAATTTCGTCACATTCACCGGCGGCCAACAATCGTAGTGTTCTTGGACATCCAAGAGGCATTTGATTCATGAGATAGACCTGCGTTGTGGAAGTGTTTACTAAAGAAAGGTGTGTCCGACAAGTTTGTAACCATTCTGAGAGAACTTTACAACCACACATCGTGCAAAGTCAGGACTTACGGCACGCTCTTTTTGTCTGCTATGACCAGCGGCGTTCGCCAAAGTTAGCCTGTTTCACCTTTCCTCTTCAATTTTGCCATCGAAGATGTCGTCCAAGAAGCACTGGAAGGTGTTCAGAAATACGGTGTTGAGCTCCTCCCTGGAGACAGAGTCACGGACTTGGACTACGCCGATGATATCGCCTTGTTGAGGACGACCCACAAACCGTCCAGAGCGCTTTGGGCTGTTTAGAGATGGAGGCGTCTAAGTACGGCTTATGCTTCACTCCTGGAAGATGTAAAAGGCTGCTCCAGAACTGGGTGCCTGAACAAGGCTCACCATTGCTGGACATGTTCTGGAGCAAGTCGCTTGCTTCATTTATCTAGGGAATTGCATTAAGGCTGATGGCGGTGTGGGAGATGAAGTCTCGCAACAGAATGCAAAGGCTCGCCTTGCATTCATCACTGAGACACCTATCGCGTCGTCGTGATGTGTCTCAAGCTCAAGGGCAGGGTGTCCAATGCTTCCATGCAGTACTTTTGTGCGACTGTGAGACTTGGCCTATTCGCTCGGAAGACATGAAGCGGTTGTCAGTCATCGAAAATCGCTGTCTACGAAGGATTGCTCGGGTGTGGTAGCAACACCAGGTAAGCAACACAGAGGTACGAAATCGAGTGCTTGGAGCGAGCAGTGCCAGTCTTCAGAACGTTATTCTCCGACATAGAATGCGTTGGCTCGGGCAAGTTTTGTGCATAGCAGCCCATCACCCTTCACGTCGATCGCTATTTGTACTCGCAGGGAGCGACTGGAAAAAGTGCCGCGGTGGACAGCTAATGGCGTGGAGGAGCATGAAGAAGGCAACCTCAAGTTTGGTAGCAGTCGGACCAGTCAGTCTTCCATATATATATATATATATATATATATATATATATATATATATATATATAT